CGGGGGTCTCCCTCTGGGACCACCGGAGACCACGCAGAGGCCCCAGCCGCACCTCCCACCCGGCCTGCCTGGCGCCCACTGGGTGTCTGAACGAGCTGCGGCCTCCCTTCCCCTCGACTGAGCGAGTCGCGTCTGCTTGTCAGGGCCACGTCCCCAGCGCTGGGCAGGGGCGAGGCGGGGAAGGCCCCAGCTGGGGTGGTTCAGGCTACTCCTCCTCGGAGCTGAGGAAGACGCCCCGCGGGTGCTGCCCACGGTCACCCTCACTCACAACGGGGTCAGGATGGGTGCCTCCCGTCTGTCCTTGTCGACTGTGAAGAAGCAGACCTCCGAGTAGGCCGGGAGCTGCACGTACCTGACGCCCGCCGAGACCCTCAGAAGCCGGCCGTCCTCGCCTGCGGGGGAGAGAAACACAGTGCGCCCAGGAAAGGGAGGAACAGCCCCCAGGACCCGGGCCTTCTCCCGGGGGCCCAGGGCGGTGGGCATCGGGGAAGAGCATTGCCAGCACGGCCCCGGCTGTGCCCCTGTTCCACCTGCGCTCTCTGCCCACCTCTGGGTCCCTGCTCTGCTAGGCCCTCTGCTCAGCTGCCCACACTGGCCCTGACCTGAGCCCAGTTCTGGGCCCAGGGCACTCGCTGTGCCACGGCTGTGGCCCCTTCCCCCGGGAGGGTGTCCCCTTGCTGGCCACGCAGGGGTGCGAGCAGACACGTGGAGGCTGGCCTCCCTCGTGGGCCGGGTCACTGTCTAGGGGCACGTGGGAGCTGAGAGGGCACCTGGGCAGAGGACTCTCTCGGGTGAGGACACAGTGAAAATGAAAGTAGATCCAAGATGTTTCCAGACAAAGGAAGCGGGAAGAATTCATCACCAGGAGACGCGTGTGACGAGCGGTGCTGAAGGCTGAGTCCTCGGGCAGAAGGACAGCGGGACCAGATGGAAATCTGGAGGGATGTGCAGAGCCAGAGCCAGAGCCAGAAATGGCAACTAGGCGGCTAAGGGGAGATTTCTCTTTGTCAAACTCTTTGCAAGGTAAGTGACCATTAAACAAAAGTCACAGCAATGCATCGCGAAGGTGATTAGGTACGCGGATGTAACACATAGGACAGTGGCACCAGGGTCGGGGGTGGAGGGAAAGAAGTATCCTGTGTAGTTCCCGCAGGTGGAGAGTGCGGGAGGGCCCGAAAAGAGACGGGTAAGTTAAAGGTGCACATTGTAAATCTTAAGCCCCTGAAATAACGAAACAAAGAGTGACAAATACTAAGCCAACAACACGGAAGATAAAATGAGTCAATAAAAAATGCCCAGTCTGCCCTGGCTGGTTTGGTTCGGTGGTTAGAGTATCTGCTGGAGGACTGAAGGGTCCCGGATTCAATTCCAGCCAAGGGCACATACCTCGATCCCGGGCCCGGTCGGGCCATGTGCAGGAGGCAAACATTGACGTGTCTCTCACATCAATGCTTCTCTCTCTCTCCCCCTCTTCCACTCTCTCTGAAAAGCAATGGAAAAAATATCCTCAGGGGAGGATTAAAAAATAATAAATATAATAAAGTGTGCTCTTTCTAGGCAGCGTGTAGTTGGGTCCTGCTTTTTTAATCCAAGCTAATCATCTTTATCTTTTAATTGGTGTGTTTATGCCATTCACATTTAATATAATTTTGATAAAACAGATTCAAACTTGCCATTTTCCTATTTGTTTTCCATTTTCCTTGGCTGTTTTCCCCCTTTATACTCTGTTCCTGTCTTTTGTGGTATTTTTAAAAATTTTTTTAAAAGTTTATATTTTTTCCATTGCTTTTCAGGGAGAGGGGAAGGGAGAGAGAGAGAGGAAGAGAAACATCCATGTGAGAGAGACACATCAATTGGCTGCCTCCTGCACGTGCCCCAACCAGGGCCAAGGATTGAGCCTGCAACTGAGGTTTGTGCCCTTGGCTGGAATGGAACACGGGACCCTTCAGTCCACAGGCTGACACTCTAGCCACTGAGCCAAACCAGCCAGGGCCAAAGAGCACACTTTAAACATAAAGACACAAACAGGTTGTGGTAAGAGGGCAGAGAGGCTGACACCAGTCAGGAGAAAGCTGGAGTGGCTACGTTAACATCCCCGGAAGTAGGCTGCACAGCAACGACCACTGAGGGATAAATAAGGTAATTTCACAGTGATTACTCAACTAAATGGCATAAAAATCCTAAATGTTTATGGTCCTAATAACAGAGCATCAAAATAATGAAGCCAAAGTTGACAGAAATGAGTGTGGAAACAGACACACCCACAATTATAACCAGAGATTTCAATACACCCCTGTCCATAACTGATAGAACAGGCAGGCGGAAAATCAGCAAGGATATGGCAAACTCGAGCAACAGTACAGCAAAATACGCCTGATCGACTTTTACAGAATATTCCACACAAAAGAGCAGAATCTGCACTCTTCCCAATATGCTCACAAAACATGTCCCAAAACAGACCCTATTCTGGGTCGTAAAACAAGTCTTGATAAATTTAAAAGGATCCCACAGACACAAAGTATGATTCTCACCACATGGAGTTAAATTAGAAATTATTAGCAGAAAGATCTCTGGAAAGTCTCTAAACATTTGGAAATGAAACAACTAGCTTCTAACTTACTCATGGGTCCAATAAGAAATCAGAAAGTATTTTGAACTGAATGAAAATGAGAGCACAACATATGAAATTTTCAGGATGCAGCTAAAGCAGTGCCCAGAGGGAAATTTATAGTAATAAGCTCCTATACTAGAAAAGGTCTGAAGTAACCGTAGTTTCCACCTTAAGAACTAGAGAAGGGACATTAAATTAAACCCAAAGTAAGGAGAAGCAAGGAGTAAGACCAAAATCGGAATTAATAAAATAGACAACTGAAAACAGAGAGTTCATTGTGTATCAGTGAAACTAATAACCTCCTGCCAGAGGAGTCGGAAAGAGAAGAAGGAAGACACAATAACCCACGTTGGGAAGAGAGGTGCCATCACTGCATTAAAGGGAAAATGGGCTTGAATGGGCTTATGTGATAAATCTGGCAACTAAGATGAAATGGACAAATACTTGGAAGAAAGCGATGGCCGGAGTGGACCTGCGTGTTACAGACCACGCTCGATGCCACTCACGCCCTCAGGATGGCGCCTGCGGAGAGCACCGCGTGGTGGGGGTAGAGTCAGCCCTTGTGCCCTGTGGGTGGGACTGGAAACCCGTGCAGCCTCTGGGGGAAAACACTGTGGCATTTTCTTAAAAGTTCAAACATAAATCCACCATGCGCTCCCGCGATCCTGCCCACGGGTGTACAAATGAGAACACGTTCCCACGAGAGCTCGGACACGAGCCTTCACAGCCGCCAAACAGTGCGGACAAGTCGGCGGCCTGTCGGCGGGTGGGCGGGCGACTGGCGTGGTGTGTGGACACGACGGAAGACCACTGGGCAGGAGAGGAAAGACGACCCGGAAACTTGGTGGGCATGGCCGCAGCAGAGCAGAGAGACGCCCGCAGGGCTCATGGACATGCCCAGAGGCAGCAAATCCACGAGAGAGCGGACAGCTCGTGGCCGCGTGGGGCTGAGGGTGTGGACGGGCCGTACGTGGGCTCAGGGGTCTTTCTGGGTGAAGGAAATGGTGACGGTTTTCTGACTGTAAATTCACTAAAAGCCACAGGATCACGAATACAGAGGAATTTCGTGGTATGTAAGTGACGCCTCGATAATGTTAGAACACAGCTGTGACTGAGCGTTTGGTGCACGCTGCACACCGTGGCGCCCTAATTGGAGCTTGTGGAGCTAAGGTGAGACAGTGCACCTCGGGAATCTTGGGCACTTATTCACGGGGTTCTGCCCCCCTCGGGGTCTCGGGACTGACCGGGTGGGGCCCCTCTGTGGGGACTGGTTCCCAGGGCGGGAAGGGCTGTGGGAAGTCAGCCCGTCCGTCCCCTGCATCACCACAGGGCTGACCGGGCCACTTAAAAGAGCAGCCTAGGCAGGTGGAGACGTGTCCTTGCTTGATTACCCCGGAGGACAGGGACCTCTCCCCTTCAGGCTGAGACCGGCCTATGCAGACGCACATGGCGCCGTGTCTGCATCACTCTAGCTCTGCAACGTGTGTGTGACGACGGCAGGCACACGCACCCTCATGCGCACAGGGGCGCACGGAGCACACGTGCTCACACATGCTCACACGTACACACATGCTTGCACACGCACATGCACACACGTGGCTTCTTGCTTGAGGGCCTGACACCTGTTTGTCTGTCTGAAAAAGCCGGCGTCAGGCCGGGGACACTCACTCTCGGCCACGCCCCCGCCGTCCTGCTGCAGCTCCACGCTCACCGAGAAGGGGGATCCCTGCGCCACGTCCATCACCTCTGGGCCCAAAATCACGATTCTCGTGGCTTGTGCTGGGAGACAGCAGAGACGGGTTCTGGTGGGTGCTGCCTGCCTGCCTGCCCGGCCCGAGGTGAGAGCTGCGGTTGTGGGTCCCGTCCCCCTCGCTGGCCCTCTCCACGCACGGGTGGGACACCCTGTCGGCTTCCCGGCACTGGGAGGGGGCTCTGCCTACAGGTTGCAAATGCAGGACGGCAGAGGCTGGAAGTCTGGACCGGCCACCTCCCTGAGAAGCGGCCTCGGCAGCCGCCGACACCAGGGCGGGTCGGCTGTAGCTGTTTGGAAGCTGTTCGTTTCAGGGCTGACCCGACTGGAGTCAATGGCTGCAGAGTGTCCGCCAAGTGTTGGGGAGGTGGAGTGGGTGGCAGGGTCAGGTTTGCACCCGCCGGACCAGCCTTCACCCCCCTCCTGCCCTCAGGCCTGTTTCCCCTGCAGCTGAGGTGGCAGTGTGGTGTGGGTGGGCCCCGCACTGGCCCTCTGGCCTGGTCTCTGCCCCCCAGGAGTGCGGGCCTCTTGCACAGCAGGAGGGGAAGCCTGGCAGGGCAGGGCTGGGAGCTGATGGAGCTGGGTTAGCAGCTCGCAGGCCGGGAGGGAGCGATGCAGGGTCGCTGGGACCGGTGGGCCCTCCCGGATGGTGGGCCGGGGACCCGACGTGCATAGCAGGGCGACGCCAGAGCCCACGTTGGCCGGGGAGCCTGGTGGCCAGGCAGCTTGAGACCCCCCGTTGGGCAAAGTGAGGCCTCATCACACCCAGGGACGACAGGACCCCGAATTTGGGGGTGGGCAGGACCTGGACTCCCTCCCAAGGTGATGTCACTAAGAGGCTCCTGGTGGACTCAGGGCCCTGCCTGAGGCTGGGGGGCTGGAAGGACCCAGGGCTCCTCTAGGGGGCTCCACATGAGGGAGGGGCGCCTGGCTCAGCCCCGAGCCCTGGTTGTGGGGTAGCAGGACCCCTGGGTGCCAGGACCCCTCCCCCAGGGCCCTAGCCACCTCCCTTCCCAGGACCTTGGCTCCTGCCCAGGCGTCCGCCTGGCTCAGCAGACACCCCTGTGGGCTGGGACAGTTGTTACTGACGCCCCTGTGGCCTCTTTCACCAAGGGTCCTGGGCCCCCCGAGGTGCAGGGGGCACCCCTGTCCAGGAGTCTAACAGGGTGGGGGCCACTTTAACGCTCAGGGGGCAGCACAGGAGAGGGAGGCAGCCCCCCGGGGAGGCCCCTGCAGGCCACCGGCCACCTGTGCTCACGTCACGGAGCCGAGAGCTCAGGTGGGGGCCGGATGGAGGCCCGATGCTGGGAGGCCCCTTGGGTCCCCGGTCGGACTGGGGGCCTCTGAGTGCCATACGCCCTTTTGAACCCTGTTGAAACGTTTTCTAAGAGGAATTTAAAGTTATTTTTTTAATCCTCACTAGAGGATGTTTTTTCCATTGCTTTTCAGAGAGAGCGGGAGGGAGAGAGAAACATCGATGGGAGACACCCCAGTGGGGGGAAGGGGGGAACCTGCAACCCAGGTAGGTGCCCTTCACCGGGAATCAGACCTGTGACCCTTTGGTGCGCAGGCCGACGCTCCAACCGCTGACCACACCGGCCAGGGCCCTAAGCGGGGTTTTAGGTTCCACCCCATCCTGGTCCCCCAGCTCCTCTTGGTGCCACACCCGCCGGGGGACTGCCCAGGGCCGCCTGAGGAAACGCAGCCGGACCCAGACGAGACCCCAGGAGAGGGCCTCGCGCGGTGGGGAGGCGGGGGGACGACACCTACCCACCGGGTGGCCGTTGACCCACATGCCCCTGTAGACGAGCCCGGAGCAGTGGGCCATGCTGCCCAGGCCGCTGAAGACGCCGCTGTGCCACTGTCCCTGCAGGGGGAGCGGCCGGTGAGAAGCGGGGGGCAGCCTGCGTCCCCCGCCCCAGGCGCTGAGGGGCCCGGGACCCAGGGCTGCTGGGATCCAAGCTGTCCCCACGCGAGAGACCGCCCTGCGCCTGACGCGTCCCAGGGGGCTCTGCAGGATGCGGCCCCTCTGAATTTTAAGAAGCCGGGAGCTTTGGGGCCAGTGGCACACACACAAAACGCAAACAAAACGCCGGCTCAGAAGGGCCCGCTTTTCAGCATAGAAACCCTTCTAAGGAAAGACGCCGGAACCTGCGAACCCGTCGCAGCCAGGCGGGGCCGAGGCGCCAGGGCATGTTCTTTGGTAATGAAAAGGCCAATTAAAACCCGCTGGGGCCCACACAGCCCAGGCTGGAGGGGCCGCGGGCTGCGCCCCACGCGGCCTCGCCCGTGACCAGCCTCCCTCCGAGCGGCCCTGCGAGCCGGGCGGCGGGAGGGCAGGGAACCGCTGCGTGGAGCTTTCAGGGCCGGGGGCCTCCCCTTGACTGTGAGTTAGTCCTGCAGAGGAAATGCCGCCGGGCGGTCGGCTTCGGTCCCACCTCTGCAGAGCTAACTGGGCCCCAGCCCCTGCCCTGCCCTCCAAGGGGCCCGGGACGCTCAGCGGCTCCGCTGGGGGCAGGGGGGCTACAGTCAGTGCCCGGCTTGGGGGGCACTGCCCACAGGGGACCCGGGTCTCCGTGACGTGAGCTGCAGGCCTGGGGAAGAAACTCGGGGAAGGAGTGTGGCCGAGGGGACTGGCCGGTGCAGATGGGCCCACGGGACGGACCCTGCAGGCTGGGGCCCTAAAGAGCTCAAACACCCCCAAACCTGGGGAAATGCTCCAGCTCGGAGCTGCCAGCCGTTGGCAGGGCTGTGCCGCCCCCTGGTGGCGAGCGGGCAGGCGGCGGGCACCCCGTAAGCCTGGCGTGTGCAGAGCCCGTCCCCCCGTCCCGGCCTCTCAGCTGAGCCACAGTTTGCAGGGGAGCCCCAAGCGGGGCCCAACAGTGCCCGGGCCACGGATGCCCAGCGGGCAGCCACGACCCGCGGTGAGGCCCGGGGTGGCCTGGGGGCGGAGGGAGGGCCGGCCTCTGGGGATGACGCTTTTCACTGTCTGGAAGGATGAACTCTGCCAGCCCTGCCCGGGCCCGAGGGGCTCCCGGGCCTGCGCCTGCGCCCGACAGCGTCCCAGGGGAGCCGCGGCCCGGACCCGGGGGCGTGTGGTAGCCGGGGCTCGAGGCGGCTCTGTGCCCCGCTCCCTGGTTTGGGAGCCTCCTCTGTGCCCGTTTCCTCACCTGTGGGGTGGGGAGGGACCCTTCTTCCAGGCTGTTGGGAGACCTGGGTGTGGATGGTCTGAGGAGCCGAGGACGTCACTGTTCCCAGTAAAGTGGGGACAGTCACCATCCCCACCGCCCGTGAGGCCGGGCGGCGAGCACCTGGCCGGCCCCAGGTACCTCGTAGGTGGAGCCGTCGGCGCAGCGCAGCTTCCCGTGGCCCTGACGCTGGTCCCGGACCCAGTCGCCATCATAGTTGTCACCGTTCCTGAGGGGCACACAGAGGCCGCTCTCAGGCTGGGGAGCCAGGTGGCCGCGCTGACTCAGACCAGCCCCTCCGACCGACCGGGCTCAGCGCGCGCCACGGGACAGAGGCAGAAATAGGCCCCGAGCAGATGGCCCGAGCTGCCGCGGTGCCAGGGCCGGGCTGCCGGGGGCAGGAGGCCTGGGCGCTCGGCGGGGCGCAGGGATGGGCGCAGGTCCC